AGGAGTGGGAACCTATAGTATGCTCACCTCCTAAGTATTCTTAATAAAGTCCCGAAGTCAAACCATTCCCCTCTATAATTATTCATTGGCTACAGAAAATTCACGGTTTGTGTTCCTCCAACTTTAAGTTTGTGTTGAATAGGAAACGATAACACAAAAAGTATTCGATAAAAGTAGTTAATAATTGCAATAACATAAACTAGACAAAATTTACTCTAATTGAAAGTAAAGTTTATCATTGTTAAAACTATTTAAAGAAGAATTTTGAGCGAATAAACCAAGATAAGTTCTGTTTTAATAAAAAAAAATTATCAACTATTTTTATCGACCTCCAACTATATTACAGACACCCCACTTTTGGATAAACTTTCTTGTTTAATAAGTTTTAAGTCTATATTAATTATGTTGAGGTTTATTAAGAAATAAGTTGAGATTCCCCATAAGTTTTGTACAAAAATAAAGTGTTTTGTTATCTTGTCACCTACATGTGCCCGCGGTTTCAGTAACAATAAATTTTCGCAATGTTAAACTTTTTTTCCCACTAGAATGACCTGGGATGCACAGGCGGATCTACGGGGAGGGGGGGGGCTTTCGGGCTGAAGCCCCCCCCCCACCAAAATGATAAAATATAACCATGTTTTACAGAAAAAAATATTAAAAACTATCTCTTAAAGTATTCTTGTTCCCAAGATTGCTAAAACTATCTCGTTTGATGGTGTAAGCTTCGTAACAGTTGTATATAATTTCAATCCATCGGTGCCTAATAAATTCTTCAATCTTGGCACTTGAACCTCTCGAGGCTTCGTCTCCGTTTCTGTTACCACGAAATACACCTCAACTTCTCTCCTGAAACGGAGATAACTTTTGGCAAGATTGTCGTCTTAGATATTTAAATTCAACTCCATAATAAATTACGACTGCGCCATGTTACTTATAAAATTTTATAATATTTAATAAAATAAAATTCGATGCTTTCAATTAAATTGGTCTTTGATGATCAATGAACTTAATTACCTCATATAAAGCTAAAGCTAAAGACTTTCTTAAACGGACTTGAGACAACTCTAAACCCAGACCACTACGCAGTCTGATAAGTATTGATCTTAACAAAAACAAATTCAACTCAGCTCTTACCATTGTTTGTAAATTTTGCTGGTTTGCACGACAAAAGATGCTCAGCCTCTAGCTTGGATGAAATTAACCACGAAACGATAACTCTTCTGCATAGAGTTTTGAAATTACAGCTGCTCAATGCATTTGGGAAAAACACAAATATACCTCCATATTGGAGGCTAGTTTTAATCAATCAAATTTAAAACCTGGCAGAGATTCTTCCATCTCGTCTATAGCTCGAGGACCATCGCTCTCATTTCCATCCTTTCTAAGAAATTTAACGTAATGAATTGCCTAAATCTCGCAGTTGTAACTGACTAACTGATATATTGATTAATAAAGTACCTTTCATTTATCCTCACATGAAAACATCCAAAGGAGATATTTAGATTCAATCACACGCAGGCTTTCTCCAAGGGGACCCTTAAGTCCCATCCTCTTCAACATGTATACACATTTGATAGCGAGATTCATCAATACGAAATTCTACAATATGCTGATAATGTATATAATTCCTTTTTTTCAAATATTATATAGGATGAGACTTAAAGAGTCTCCATGGAGCACGCCTGCAGCAAGCAAATCTGATAACCTAAAATGACAGTTCATCATGGCAGACTGTGCTGCATGCTATATCAGATGGGCTAAAATTGCCTTTATACTAGCGGATTCAGGATTTCCTTTTGGGGGGCTTCAGCCTAAAAGCTTTTTTGTAATAAAACGATAATCACTTTGGAAGAAAAAGAAAAAAAAAAAAACTAATTGCCTATACGAAGTGGTGTTTGATTCTTGGAGTCCAATTTAATGTAATTACACGAACAATAATGCTTTTAGAGATATATTTCTTTACAAATCATGGTTATATTTTACCATTTTTTTTTTTTTTTTTTTTTTTTTGGGCATCACTTGCATCGTCTCCTTCACTAATGCCAGTGATGCCAGCACACTACCTGCCATAAGCGGATCTACGGGGGAGGAGGCTTTCGGGCTGAAGCCCCCATCCCTCCTCCCAAAAATGGTAAAATATTGCGTCATATGAAAACAGTATTAAAAAATTTTAATAGTTTTATTTAACAGTTCTAGACCCCTAATTGACTTTTTATGTGAAGCATATAGACATATGTCATCAGCAAAGGCGGATCTACATTCCGGCTGAAGCCCCCCACCCAAAAAAAGTGGTAAAATATAACCATGTTTTATAAAAATAATATATCTCTTTCGTATATAGTATACAAAATATAGCATTATTGTTCGTGTAATTACATTAAATTGAACTCCAAGAATCAAACACCACTTCGTATAGGTAATTAGTTTTTTTTCTTTTTCTTCCAAAGTAATTATCGTTTTATTGCAAAAAAAGCTTTTGGGCTGCAGCCCCCCAAAATGAAATCATGAATCCGCTAGTATAAAGGCAATTTTAGCCCATCTGATATAGCATGCATCACAGTCTGCCATGATGAACTGTCTTTTCAGGTTATCAGATTTGCTTACGTCTAGTTATACAAACGTGGTAGTGTGTTATAATCCAACTCCTGGAGCACAGTCTGGAAATATAATTATACAGATAGAAAGGGCTCTAAACTCGGAGAGTTTATCTCGAGAAACAAGTTGGTGGCCTTTTAATTTGGCAGCTATTCTTTTATCACACATGTTCAAACAATCTTCATCGAACCATTTTGTTATTTTAATTTTTCTTTTTCACAAGACAAGAGTTACCGACTTCTTAAATATTATCCATGAATCCTACCATAACTTGTTTATATCATCATATCCTAACTTCTAGCAGGAATTGATTTCTAATTGATGGATTATTTAATTTTTTAGATCACAACTCTCGGAACCGAAACTGTTTCGTTTTATATTTTTTATGTTAAGTTTTTATCGAAGTTTCGCGTTTACTTATTCATGATCCGACCTACACTCTACCCCGCTATTAGACCGTACATTAACTATACTACTTTGTCACCTTTTTTTTTTGGTTTATTTGTTGCTGTTTATAGGGGTAAAATCCCCAGAACATCAACGCCTAAAGTTTATTTAAACTATAAGCTAGTAAAAAAATTAGACAATATTATTAAAAGAAAAAAAGAAAAATAATGAAAAAAAAAATAAACACTATAGAAAACTATATACAAAAGTTATAAGTTATGTACAAATTGCAAGATGAAATGAAATGGTAGATTTTTAAAAATAATAATACTTTAAAAGTTCTCCAACTTAGAAAGGATTTGCTGTGCCTTTAGAAATTCAAACACCAATGCGACCAAAGTTTCGCTGTCATTAAGGTCCACAGACAAGCTTGGGGTCAATTCCGTTCCGTTCATAATTCTATCTAATTCATAAGAATTTTGTTGATTTTTGTAGGGTATAGGTGAATTTTCTAAAAGCAATTCGAATGGGGCGTTTTGGTTGCAAAGACTGCATCAGTATTTCTCTTTCGACTAAAGTGGACGCATACCGGTTTTCTCTACGGAAATTTGGAGACCTATGTTAATGGACCAGATGGCATCTTGCAATTTATTATGAACAGTGTAAATGTTCTCGACCGTCAAACAATCGCTAAGTCATTTAACGCCTATTTACAAATTTAATCCCAGGTCATTTATTACCCGTGAGAATAATATTGGACCTAGGACACAACCCTGAGGGACGCCACTGATCTGCTCATGATTCTGGGATAGTTCGCAGCCTATTTTAACTCTAAAATGGCGACTAGTAGAAAATTGCTTTATGAACCAACCCATTTGCCCACTGATTTACATCATTGTTAAATTACGAAGGATGGCTGAATGGCTTATACAATCGAATGCCTTCATCATATCAAACAATACTGCGTCTGTTTGTTGTCCTTTATCAAAAGCATATTGTATTTCAGTCTCTAATTTAACCAAATGATCTATTGTGGATCGCCCTCCAGAATGGAAAGGTGGGATCAGACCATTTGTCTCTATTATCCACATTAATCTCTTGTTAAACATCCGCGCTATGATTTTACAAAGGCAACTTGTTAAAAAAACGGGACGATAACTGTTAGGCAATCGTTTGTCTTTCACATTTTTGAGGATTAGAATTATGATTGAATCTCGCCAGGTATTGGGAATTTCCCCAACGGACCAAATGTAATTATAACAGTCAAGGAGTCGATTCAAAGTATCGCGAGGGGAGATTTTTTATCATGCAATAGTGAACACTATCTGGGCCTTGTGAGGTTTACAGAATTTAATATATCTTCTCCTTACTCAATCTCCGCTGGCTTTTAATACCAGTGAAGTGGTTGAGGAAGAAGCGCAGGGATCTCCTGAAGCCTCGCTTTCCCTCCACATATTGGGGGACAAGTATGGTTCGGAGTTCACATGACCGACTGTAAAGAGTGTAAATAGGTATGCCTGCGTCTAAGATGTTTATTTTCATTACTTTTTTTTTAAAGATAATTTTAATTCTATTTTATTCATTTATTTTTATTCTATTATTACTATTATTTATATTTTCTTCCTTCACTATGATATTTTATTTTGTTCTTATTTAGCTTTATATTATTTTGAAATTACCTTATTTATTTATTTTTTTAATTTGTAAATATGGTGTGAATGTGCTCCCAGAACTCTATTATAAATGTCCTTTATTGAGACAGATTGTAATATTTATCAATAAACAAATAATCCTCAAAAATACATTTTCTGGTTCCCAAATTGAGAACGGATAGTTATAATGCGAAACGGTGTCAATAGTATTTTAAAGTTCATTTTCTCGATAGTCAATATTGCTATTAGGTCTGTCCTAATTGTATACTTCTGAGAAAAAAAAAATTTGCAAATTCATTCGAAATAGATGTTGAATCGTCAGATAATTGACCATTTACTAATATAGCGTACCACATTCCAATCGTCCTACTGGTCATCCTGAAAAGCGTGGGGAGTGGTGACAAGAGTAGGTTTTGATTGTTCAGAAGTTAAAAACTTCGGTTCAGAGGATAGCTCGTCAGTGGTGGGCTTAGCTTCTGAAGTTTTAGCCGATTTTCGAGCCAAGGAATATGGTTTTTGGTTAGGTAGGGAACTTACAAGAGAAGGTGGGTTAAATTGGGATGAGGTTGGGAGATTGATGGTAGAAGGCAAGGTAGTGATGGCAGGGAGAACAGCTGGTTTAGGGAAGATGGTGGTGGGGGTAGGGAGAGTAGTGGGAGTGGGAGGTGGATCGCTCATTCGGTCGGCATTGGCATTCGAGCGATTGAAAAGAGGAGTTGTAATATTACTTATTACGGGCTCTACGGATTTAAACAATCCGTTTGAACATTAACTGATTTCTTATTTTTTGAAATATTAGAAAAGGTCATTTGTGTAATGTAAAGAATCGTACTTTTTCTTTGCCGCTAAATACATGATTCTTCCGGCATCTTGAATGACTTTCTTTTTTTTTTACTTTTAGAAAACTGGACAATTTTTAGTGAAAGAATCGTGTTGACTCCAGCAATTGACACAGATTATAGGGTCAACAAATTCTGATCCTTCATGTTTATTTTTGCCACAATACCTACACAAAAGTTCTTTGTTACACGTACTTTTCGTACGGCCGAATTAGAGACATACATAACGTGTTGGATTCGAAATAGATTGCCTGATAGTAATATTATAAAAATCTATTTTCATTCAGTGGGAATGGTGAAATTATTAACTGTTAAAAGATAATTGAGACTGTTATTTTTATAATAGGTCAATCTTTTTAGGTATTCTAAGTTTTGCAGTTTTAATTTATCATTTATATCATCACTACACTAGCGGATTCAGGATTTAATTTTGGGGGAGGGAGGCTTCAGCGTGAAAGCTTTTTTTTTCATGTATGCAATGATAATTATTTTGGAAACAAAGAAAGATACTAACTACGTATATGAAATGGTGTTTAATTGGTTCTTGAAGTCCTATTAAATGTAATCACACGTACAATAATACTTTAATAAATCATTTTTTTCAATAAAACATGGGTACTTTTTACCATTTTGGAGGGGGGGGGCTTCAGCCCAAAAGCCCTCCCTCCTTCTACACCCCCCTCCCCGTAGATCCGCTTGTGCATCAATAGAACAATATTTTAAATCTGGATACCATATAATTCCTTTACTTAAATTTATTTTTTTGTGTGGCTTTACTTTAACTGGAAAATTGTTAAGTAGACTTTCACTTTTTAGGAGCTTGTCAAATTGTGTTTCCGTAACAACCTCAACCAAAAGTGTACCTTCTTTTAATTTTTTAACATCTTTTGCATCCCCGATTAAATCTTTTAGGCTTTTATTAATGAAGAACTGTGACATTTTTTTTTTTTAAATCTGAAGAATTTCCTTTATAATCCATTCCAGTTCTTTTAATTATCAAAAATTTGACACAATTTTTATGTTTACTATCCGAATTCCCAGCTATTATAGCTTTTATTCTTCTTGCAGGGGGAGATTCCGCCATGATAATTAAATTAAGAATTAAAGTAAGTAAAATAAAAAAAATAATTAAGGAATTAGAAAAAGTACCTCCTAGAAAGAAAAGTATTCTAATAATAAAAGAAATAAAATTAAAACGTAAACTTATCGCTTGTTGTTGATCCCTAACCCTTGAGAGCACTAAAACCATACACGTCTTGACTGCATCAAGAATAAACACAAACTGTGCCACCTATGTTGTATCAACACATGATCGATTTGATTTCGTGTTTGGGAATCCAGTGATGTCCAAATATATTTACAAACACCCTTATGTTTATACATATTATTAGGTTTTTAGATCCGGCAAAGTATATCAGCCAGATCCCATTATGATTACTATACCCGTGAAAATTTTCGTCAGGAAATACAATTCTTCACGTCCTACTTTTGCATTCGCGTCTCCTTGGATAATTTTCATGCAGTTTCACGGTAGTTTATAATAAACCCACTAGATTATAAAATTCGTTTTTGACTTCATTATAACTGTCTTCAGTCGGACAATATATATGTTTATTAACGCAATTTTAAATCAACATCTCTGAAATATGGCTACCGAAATTCTATCGCTAAAGAATTGTTGGCCCCTAGAAGGGGGACAGCTTTCTATTCCTAATTAGAAACGCAGTAAATAAACAATGTTTTCCGCTTCATTCGTATCATAGGGTGCACTTTCCTTTCCTCATCGAGTCCTCCACAGGGAAGTGAACCTCTTGCAGAGCCACAACATCGTCATTTTCCATTTCCTACAACAACTACAAATTTTACTTAATTTATTAAGTTTTAAGGGTGTTGTGATTTTTTTTTTTTTGTACTATAGTGCCTCGCCAGTATAACGGAGGCCGTTATGTTTCATTATAGATGTTTTTATTTGTATACGTTTACACATTTTTATTTGTTTACAATTACACAGGTACATTTAAAATTAAATGTTTACATTTAAAATTTTACAGGAAATTATTAATATTAAATTTTCAAAGGTCTACAACTATTCAATATAGTTTTATTATTTCGAGGAGCTCCTTTAACAGAACTTTTATACTTCTCAAAACTTTGTTTCACTTTATTCTCATTTTTGCATCCGACAAAATTTCGAGGAGCTTCCCGCATTATCAAGTCTGGAATGATATCTAAGTATCGTATAAAAAATAATTTAAAATCCATTCCAGTGTTAAAGAATCAGAAGCTTCTTATATAAACTACCCAATGTCCACTTTGGGTATAGGGCTGTTAAATTTATGTTCACAATTTGTTTATTTGTTTTCTATAAATATAGAGTGAATGTGTCCCGTTCATCTCTATTATAAATATCTTTAATTGAGACAGAACTTAATATTTCTTTATAAATGAATAAAAAAATATAATCATATGGAATGTTTAATTATTTCAAACAATATTACGTAAATGGAAGTAAAAATAAATTTCTCCTTCCTTAATATAATTAATTTATTTATTTATGTAGTTTATTATCATGACCACTGACCGATATAATGTGCGCATTATTCTCATGGAAAAATTAGTTTATATTTATTATTAAAATAATTTTCTTAAAGTGTATTAAATTTTAAAAAAAGTTAATTTCTGCTAAAGGCACGAGGGTAACTGAAAGTTATGCACATCAGATATCTTTTTAATACGACCATATTGAATTAGACTAGAATCATTTATTTTTAGTGATAACATTTGAAGATCATAATAAAAATACATTTATAATTGGTAATTGGTTGACTGTCGTGGATAATGAAGAGAAGAATAGTTGGGGTGCTCAGTCAAAAAAGGAAGGCAAAAAATAAATTATAATATTTATTTTTTACTGAGCACCCCAACTATTCTTCTCTTCAAAAATACATTTATATGAGAAGTGGAAATTAATGAAACTTTATATATATATTTTTTTCAATTAATTGAAATATAGATCATATGGATATCAAAATGTCATTTAAAGGTTGAGAAGACACGCTATAACTGGTTAGCTAATAGGATACCTATTTACATTGGCACCAAAATAAGTTCTATACCCTCTCTCCAGTGCTCTAGATCCTAGAACATACGATTCTAATAGAATTTCCAACCTAGAAAAATTCTCCTAAGCTTTCAAGCTACTACTTGCCCGTTCTTTGAACAGAAGTGTTTCTTATCATTTGCAATAAATACATCATATATTTTTATTATCATTAATTATTCAGTATCTAATAAATGTACAAATGTAAGCGCTACATAATAACATTTGTGCATAACGATCATTAGTTCTGATTGTATATTTTTATTTAAATAAAGCAAGAATCAAAATGAGGTGGGAATTATGTTCAATTCCATCAGTTCAATTCAATAGTTCGCGATTAACAAATCAAAAAAAAAAAAAGAGAGAAAGAAATTACCAAATGTTCTTAAAATATAGCGTCCGCTAATTAGTATTAATGTTTTAATTTTTATATTAATTTGAGGAAGTAATCAGACATCATTGTCAGGAATCAGACTTAATTCTGAACGATTATTTATTTTACCCTCGCTCTCTTAATTTATTTATGTCTACTTCTCTAAGGAATAGCTGGTTTTCAACATTTTTGTTAATTTAATTTTTTTTTTTTTTCGTATCATTTAATGTTCATATTTTATTGAGCCTGCTGATATCTGCGTAATAGCAATGCAAATGACAATTCGTTTGTGTCTCTTAAAATCTACAACCTTCTATACTTATAATTTATTTAATTTTGCTACGAATTTCTGTATTTCATTTAATTTTAACTCTAACTTACATTTCCTTGGTTTATTATAGTTTTTGCCTTTGTTATATAGATTTTTATATTTTTTATTTATTTATTTTTATTTATTTATATTTTTTATGTATTGTATATATGGTATGAATGTGCCTCACTCAGCCTTAGTACTCAGTGCCCTTAAGTGTGGCAAAATGTATTATTACTCAATAAACAGATAGATGAATAAAAAAAAAAAAAAAAAAAGAAAAAAAGAAAACAACCTTCTATAAATTCTTCGTTGTGTGTGTAATAATATTATTATCATGATAATAAATTCTTCGTCATGTGTATGACCTCGCTAATTTTTCAGTTTATTCTAGAGTTGTTGTTTTTTTTTTGGTTTTGTTTAATGGCATAATATAAATCCATACAGCCAGCTAGAAATTGAAGTTTTTAGGTAATTTTAAACTTAGTATATTTCCTAATTGCTTTAAAATATTTTAATATGCTGCTTATCTGTTCACCGCTGGTCAGTGACAGTATTTGTTTTTATGTGATGTGGCTATTGTATTGGGTTGGAAAATAGTCAGTGGGCCAGACCATCTCCCCCTACCGTGCACCCTCCCCCCTCACCATATTCCTGTAAATTGTATGTGGTTGTGTTCCTTGTAACTATTTATTAAAAAAAAAGCCAATGATAACACACAAAAACAAAAAAAAATGAACCCACTATCCCAAAATTGCGGCCAAAAATGGCGGACTGACGACTTTGACTTGATCACTTTTTAGATCACTTGATAGTTTTTTGATCACTTAAAATTATCATTTGGCTTAATTTCGTCATAATTGGCCTTTTGTTAAAGCTGGATGATCAGTGAATAATAAAATATGAAACAATATTAAAAAATAATTGGCTTAGGCACATAAAAAACACCAGTAAAATCAATTTTTTTTCAAATACAAAATGTTCAAGTTGAAAAACAAGCATTGTTTGTAATTAAACGGCCAACACTAACAGAAAATGTTTAGGAATAAAACATCT